GAAGCCACCTTTCAAGATGGGCGGCACCTAGACCGCCGGCCTGGCAATTGGCTGAGACCTCCTCCAGGCACCGCCGCCTCCCTCCTCCCCTCAGCTTGGAGAGACGTTCCTCAGACCAAAAGCCCCGGTTCCCAATCTTGGGTCACCAAGAGGTGTGCTTGGACTACAAAGCCCAGAAGACTCGCCATCCACTGCGGTGGCCGGGGTTTTGGGGAGTCATAGCCCAAGAACCACCTGAGTTACCCAAGACTGGGAGCCCCTGGTTTAAAGTAATTCCTAGTTTTGCTTCTATATACAGTGGTGCCCCGAATGACGACGACACCACTAACGACCCCACTAAATGACGAAACCACAGGATGGTGACTTTTTGCGATTGCTACAGAGATTCGCAAAACAGGCATTTCAGTGGGGGGAATTCCGCTTCATAACGATTTGGTCTGTGCTTCGCGGACCGTTTATTCGCAAGACGACGATCTTTACAGCTGATAGTCGGCTTTGCAAAATGGCTTCCTGCTGTTTTCCGGACCCATGCTTTGGAAGACAGCGATTAAAAACAGCTGATCGGCTCTCACAAAATGGCTGCCCTATGGAGGAAATTCGCAGGATGGCAAGGTATTTTCCCCACTGGAATGCATTAACCAGTTTTCAACGCATTCCAATGGGGAAACTGTTTTCGCATGACAACGATTTTGCTGTACAGCGATTTCAGGGGAACAAATTATCATCGTCATGCGGGACACCACTGTACAAATGTTATTAGCATGTCTGGTTTATGCAAATCCTAGAATCACAAAGTGGGAAGGAGCCAAGAAAGCCATGGAGTGCAAAACTCCCCGCTCAAGGCAGGAATGCGCATCAGGGGGTTGTCTACATTTCTCTTCAATGCCTCCCATGTTGGAGTGCTCGCCACTTCCCATGGTTATCTGTTCTTCTAACGTTTCTGTTAGAAGGACTGCAGTCACAGATAAGAGGTTTTTCCTGATATTCATGTGAAATTTGGCTTCCTGTAACTTGAGCCCACTGTTGTGTCCTTTCCCATCTTCCTTTTCCTTACTGCCATGACAAGGGTGATTCACATCACAACAGCATCTCTAATACTGTTATGTGGGAGGCTGGACGCATAGACCTATAGAGCAGGGGCCCCCAACCCCGGGTATGTGGCCCAGTACTGGGCACTGGCACTGGCAGGATCAGACCACGTAGATCGACCCCTCCACCTGCATCCCCCCCACACGTACGCACATACACCCGCCGCACACATGCACAGACCACCCATGCACGGCCATCCATTCACATGTATGAACGGACGCGCCACACATACATGGATGCACGGATGCCCTGCCCACACCTGCATGGACACCCGCATGCTAAACGAGTCTGTGGTGTGAAAAAGGTTGGGGACCACTGCTATAGAGAACCTTCTGAGGTGGTGATTTCATTCCTGCCTTATTTTATTTATTTGTTAATTATTGGAGTCGACTGAGCCAATAATCGTTCAAAGACTGAGGCGACGGAGGAGAGGATTAATGTGCCTGAAACCTGATGGACAGGTTGGCAGAGTTAAAATTAAAATGAGTTGTCGCCCTAAAGGGGACTAAAGGATTAACTAATTCTGGTATAATAGGCAAAAACAAAAGAAAAATAGAAGACGAACACCTTATGGCACCTTAAAAACTCACTGCTATATTTTATTGTGAGCTTTCACAGACAAGTCCAATGTAGCAGGTAGTCCTTAAAGTGCCACAAGATTTTTGTCTTCTTTGTTTTCTTTTTGTTTCTTTTTGTCAGATATGGCAGCACAGACTAACACAGCTACTTCTTATAAAACATATTGGGATAAGACCCTGCAGAAGAAAAATAGTCAAAAGAAACAGCTTTCCTTCTCCAGTCAAGAAACTGTATAATCCAGACTGGACAGAACAGTGTCAGGCAGGGGATCAAAACTGCAGGATATGTGGATCATGTTCAGAAGAGGTGTGGCTTTGAAAGGGTTAAAGGTGGCCGCCTGACACGGAACGCATTTCCCTCCTCTTCAGGATTTTGGCCTTGGTACTCGTGCAAGAACGGACATGGGTCTCTTCACTTCTCTAACATCTCATTTTGAAGCCGTCACATGCTGGGATAAGGGATCCAAACGCTCAGAGGCTAAAATCCTGCTGCTGACCTGTCAGAGGACCTCAGGCGGATGACATTGCCGCTTCACAAGGCCTAACTTCATGGCCACTGGATTCCAGCCCCTGCCTCTTGGATGTACACTTGCATAAGGACACCCACAGAAAATGGAGAGGTTTGCTAGGGATGAGGAAGGAGTTCCCCATTTCTCTTTCTGTTTCAGAGAAAGGAGCCCTTTCAGGCTTCTGAGTCCCATCGAGAGGAAGTCTCCCCCTGGTCCAGACCAGGTTTGCCAGGCTTGTGCAGAAAATAGAAGCTACTTCTGTTTTTTCTAGATTCTGGCTATTTTGTAGTATTCTTAAAAATGTGAGCGGCCCACATGCAAATAGTTTGGGGGAGGGAAAGACACACAGTCGGGCTTTGGTCGACGGGAGAGAAGGCAGAGCTTAGGAGCAAATGGAGGAGCCAAAGTGGCCATAAGTCAGGGGAGGAGCACTGAAAATGCATGGGAATTTCCACGAGGAACCAAATCTTGCATCAAAAATGGGATGAAAATCTACTGTAACACCACAAAATGCAATCCAAGAGAGTCTATAAATTTCTTTCTACGGCACTTTACTAGAGAACCTAGAGGCTCTCCAAGCCTCAGAGCTGCTTACTCACTTTATCACCACGAGATTCCAAATCCACGTCTCGGGGAAGAGGCTTCTAACTGTCTCCAGTTGTGGCTCTGGTTGTAACCTTAAAGGTTCTGCAGCAAGCAGATTCGCTGAAACTTCTGGCATTCCTCTTCTAAAGGGCATGGGCTCTAGGAGAGGGAAGAGAGGATTTTTATTGGTTATAAAGGCTGCCTTCTAAGTTATCAACCATTGCAGAATGGAGGGATTTCCTGGCAGGGAAAACCATTGAATGAGACCATTGACATGGAATTGAGTAGACTGCAGATGGACATCGTTGCCCTGCAAGGGACGAGATTGCCAGACTAGGGATCTGTCAAAGAAAAAAAAATTCTGGTTGTTGTGGGTTTTTCGGGCTCTTTGGTTGTGTTCTGAAGGTTGTTGTTCCTAACGTTTCGCCAGTCTCTGTGGCCGGCATCTTCAGAGGACAGCAACAGGTTTATTCTCGGAGACTTTAATGCTAGAGTTGGTGCTGATCACAATTCTTGGCCCACTTGTCTAGGCTGTTTTGGCATCGGGAAGATGAACGAAAATGACCAACACTTGCTGGGGTTTTGCTATTATTATGGTCTTTGTGTCAGCAACACATTCTTTGATGCGAAGCTTCAACACAGAGTCTCCTGGAGACATCCAAGATCGAAGCATTGGCATCACCTCAATTTGATCCTCTAGCCTTCCTAGTATTACGATCACACACATTTATCAGGGTGCTGATTGGCCCCCCCATGGATTTTGTAGGGGCGGAGCAAGGGTTGCTATTGCCATAGGTAATCCCCGTTAAATACTAGTTCAGTCCAAAGGAGTAGGTCTACAAAAGAGAGGAGCTGTGAGTAAGAGATTTGAATCAGAAAGAGCAGGAAAGCTGATTTGCCTAGACCTGCTGTTGCCACTAGTCTGCCAACTTGGTCTAGGTATATTCCCTCTATGTTTGTGAGGGAGGGGTGACTCCACATTGTGAATTCATGCATATGCAATTGAATTGTTATTTTATTTTAGGACTTTGAAGACTCTGCATGTGAAGCTGATTCTTCGATGTTAGGGATACCCAGCCTGACTAAGGAAAATATCTTGGATTGGTTTTGCTCTGAATTTGAATTCAAAAGGGCCCTTGAACTTTGCAATTCCCCAAGCAACTCCATTATTAGTGCTGTTGCCGAGGACCTGGGTGCAGAAATTGTAACCTTTTGTTGTTATAATTGCTCGTGTTGTCTTTTATATAAGTGTGAATAAGAAGAGACATGTTTTGTGAATCTGTGCTTGCAAAATTCATCAATAGTCAGCAAAGAGCCCCCACAGAACTTGAAAGGGTTACACATGCAATCCAAACTTGGCATCAGGTCAGCAAGCCTGTTACAGGGGCCACGAAAGTACTTGGGGTCCCCACGTGGCCCCTCACAGCCACAGCCTTACCAGCCTGTGTTTCAGAGGTAATTGGACTAGGTCAGGGTAAAGGAGGCAGAAAGCCTTGCAATTCACAAGAAACTAAGAAACTTTCCTGAACAGGAAGATCAGGCAGGAGGTGAGCTCTGTTTGGGAACACATTTTATTTATTTGGGGAGGTGTTTTTTCTAGCTTGACCTTTGCTTTCCCTGACTGCATGATATGAGGGAGTGGGGTTTAGCTTTAAATGAGCGTGAGCAGAAGTTTCTCTGATTCTATTTTTTAATCTGGTAAATAGGATAGCCAAATAGCATTGCATACAACTGGGGGGGCAGGAAATTTCTAGGGGTCAGATCATACTTCCACACTATTAGGGAGCAGGCTGAGTAGGTGGGGCTCATCAGCCTTGGAAGGCAGCCCATCTAGGAGAAGGAAAACTCCAATTTTGAACCTCCGCTGCCTTGTGGCTATATCCACTGATGGAAAAGGCTTCAGGAGATAAGCTCGAGGCAAAATCCGGAGCCGGAGTCCCGGAGGCACTTCGTGTCGTTCTGCCAACTCCTGCGACGTCGCTGGAACCAGTTGTATTGGCTCTTGCCTTTCCATTGGACCATTTCAGCGATGTGGAGAGGGGGGATTTGCTGCTTGGGTAACAGCCTATCCTCCATCTTATTTTACCCAGGCTTTGTGCTCTGGAGAGGACACTCATACAGAGCATGTTACCATATATAGAATGGTCCTGACCCGACCAGATAGACGGGATATAAATAAAATTAAATGAATGAATGAATGAATGAAAGAATGAATGAATGAATGAATGAAAGAATGAATGAATGAATGAATGAAAGAATGAATGAATGAATGAATGAAAGAATGAATGAATGAATGAATGAATAAATAAATAAATAAATAAATTCACGAAGGCTTTCACGGCCGGGATCTAATGGCTGTTCTGGGTTTTTCGGGCTCTTTGGCCATGTTCTGAAGGGTGCTGTCCTCTGAAGATGCCGGCCACAGAGACTGGCGGCACGCCAGGAAGAACAACCTTCAGAATACGGCCAAAGAGCCTGAAAAACCCAGAACAGCCATGTTACCATAGTCTCTCGAGACTGAAGGATGCCTAACCAAAAAACGCTCCTGCTTATCTCATCGCAGTGGCTTCTCAGGTGCAAAAGCAACATCCCTCTTCAAGTACTTACCGAAGTACTGTATTCTGACCTGCATGCAACTCTCCGGCTTGTGCATTTTGGTGCTGGTAAATACTTTCAAGCCAAAGTCCTGCAAAACAGGAGACAAGCTGTTTTGAAAATGAAGTTCCACGAAGCATGGACAGAAACAACCACCAGTCTCTTCTCCGTCACAGAGGAGAGCACTGTGCCGGCCTTCTTTCTTAGAGGAGCTCGGTAAAGTTAATTTTTTAATTTCAATGTAATGCCACCCCTTAGAATCTCCGAGTCAGCAGGGCTAGTGGAACCTGGGCAGAGAAGTCCTGAACAGGCGGTTTTCCGGTGTCGGACTCGTGGTGAACCAGGGAGGAGTGCCGCCGGTCAGTGGGTGCCGATTATTAGGCAGACCTTCACCCAAGCTCGAGATTTCTCTACCCTCGGCTGCCTTGCTATCGTCACACATTTCATTTCAGGAGGAGGGGAAAAGATGAGAAGGGGAGAAGGGGAGGTCCAGAGGAATGAGCAGAACTGAACGGGTCAAGGAGGGCCAAGATGGGAGGATTCTGCTTGCCTCAGATTTGGGGCTGGGGGGGAGGAGGTTTTCAGAAGGGGGGGCTTATCTCTTCCTCCAGAGGCCTGATGGGCTCACCGGACAGAAGCAGGAGGGCTCCAAGCACTCCCAGGTGGGTACGTCCAGCCACCCACTCCGTTTCCCGGCGTAACCCAACCAAATGGTGCTAGCAAACTGAAACTGAGTGGCAAACATCCCTTTGCCTACAACGGTGGTTCCAACCTTGGGTCCCAGATGTTCTTGGACTCAAACTCCCAGAAGCCTTTGCCACAAGCTGTGCTGCCCGGGATTTCTGGGAGCTGTAGTCCAAGAACCTCTGGGTTACCCAAGGCTGGGAACCACTGACCTGCAATATCCCACAGATCCCATCGTGCTCTTCGCATGGCCTCTGAAGCTGAGAAACCAACAGAGGAGACAGAGCTTGGGGGCAGCCAGATAACCTGGAGTGGGCCAGATCCAGCACTCCTAAGCCCGAGGTCTCCATGCCGACAAGAACTTTGGCGCCTCCTGGGCCTGGCTTCGGCCCTGGTCACCTGCCCTCCTTCAGGTGTTCCACAAACCCGTAGCCCGGATGGCAACCCCAAAGCCATGTGTTGGGCAAGGGCTACTAGAGAGGTTGCCCACATTGCAGGCTTGAGGTCCTAAAGGGACTCCTTTAAGGCTGGGATGAGAGGTGGACCTCAGAGAGCATCATCCTGAAACCCCCAGGATTGAAGACCTCGGTTCTACTCAACAAGGCCTTTTTCTGGGGGCAGAGGCTCACGGGGAGTTTGCGCGCGGACTCTAAAAGACCAATCTGAACACATCACTCCTTTGTTCTTCTCACACTCCTGTGCGAAAAGGAAAAAAAAAAACCACAAGGACAGGAACCCTTTGTTGATCTTAAATATGGCCTGCTCACAGACATGATGTGCTGAGCATTAATCCTGATTCTGTCTTTAGCTTGGAAGAAAAACCAATTACTTTAAAAAGGAGACAGACAGACAGAGCACTTCCAGAACTTCGGGGAGTTGTATTTAATATATTAATTTCTCCAAGCTCCAAAGCCAGCTAATTGCCCTTCTGATTTAGTTGCCTCTTAAATCTTTTTTTCCATATCATGGCTAGTTTCGGCAACCCTTGGGAGCTCACCTGAAGAACTTTATAGGAGTCGCCTGTTGCAGACGGATAAGGGTCAGGAGAATAAGTAATGCCATCCACAACTATCTTTTTGTAGGGCACACAGTGTAAGACGTCCGGGTCTTCCACATTCCGTCCCTGATAATAATACCCCTTGAGGTTCTTCACAGGGAGCAAGTTATAAACCTGAAAAGAAAGCAGTCAAAAATTCAGTGTGAGGTGACATATTCCTTGGCTGAAGCCGAAGGAGCTTTCCGTTCAGCGCTCTTCACAGTAAGAAGCTGAGTCATCAGGACAGAAATGTGCGGGGTCTCCCCTTTTCTCCCCTTTGGCTTGTTGGATACAGATAGAATCTGAGGGTGGTCGGCAGAAAAGGCAAAGAGCCTTTTGAGTAAAACCCAACCATGTTTATTGGAAGAGCCGTGTATGGAACAGCAGAGGGTGGTCCCATCAGGCCAAAATATGCCCAGAATGTATCTGTAGATCTCATATGACTTTCCAGCTGGCTTTCAAAAAATTATTTATAATTATTTTACTGAGGGCTTAACAGCACTTCATTGTTGCAATAACTCCAGGCAACCCCAGCTTGCCTGTTTCTACAAGCTTTATTGATCTCTAAACGGTGCTTCTGTTCTAGATTATAATAGGATAGCTGTCAAGGTCGCAACTAATCTTTACCTGTAAAGGCTGCTTGTCGAACTTACTTCGCTAACCGGATAAGCAAAGCGTCCAACCAGCAGGCGGAGCTATTCCGTATAGTGCACAACCTATCCGGAACTGGTCTGGGTGATAGGCCTCCCCCTAGTTTTTCACCTGACCAGTTTGCAGCCTTTTTAAAATCTAAAGTGGAGGCCATCCGACGGGACCTCTCTCCTTTTTTGAACACAGTAAGTTGAGCAGAGATGTCCAGCACTCCGTCTTGCCCGGTAACCCTTGACTCCTTTCAGCCTGTCACGCCTGATTCTGTGGCCAGAGTGCTTGACCGCTGTCGAGCCACCACCTCCTCCTTGGACCTTTGCCCGGCCTGGCTAATCAAAGCAGCCAGGCCGATAACAACAGAATGGGCCAATGCAATAATAAATGGGTCTTTCCTTGAGGGCAGGTTTCCCTCTGCCCTCAAGGAGACACTCATTAGGCCATAAGAAAGAAACCTAATTTGGCGGCGGACGAAATTGGCAATTATAGGCCTGTCGCCAATATTTCTTTCATGAGCAAAGTAATCGAGAGGGTGGTGGCTGACCAGCTTCAAGCACATCTGGATGAAACAGATGCCCTGGATTTTTTTTCCATATCATGGCTAGTTCAGGCACCCTTGGGAGCTCACCTGAAGAACTTTATAGGAGTCGCCTGTTGCAGACGGATAAGGGTCAGGAGAATAAGTAATGCCATCCACAACTATCTTTTTGTAGGGCACACAGTGTAAGACGTCCGGGTCTTCCACATTCCGTCCCTGATAATAATACCCCTTGAGGTTCTTCACAGGGAGCAAGTTATAAACCTGAAAAGAAAGCAGTCAAAAATTCAGTGTGAGGTGACATATTCCTTGGCTGAAGCCGAAGGAGCTTTCCGTTCAGCGCTCTTCACAGTAAGAAGCTGAGTCATCAGGACAGAAATGTGCGGGGTCTCCCCTTTTCTCCCCTTTGGCTTGTTGGATACAGATAGAATCTGAGGGTGGTCGGCAGAAAAGGCAAAGAGCCTTTTGAGTAAAACCCAACCATGTTTATTGGAAGAGCCGTGTATGGAACAGCAGAGGGTGGTCCCATCAGGCCAAAATATGCCCAGAATGTATCTGTAGATCTCATATGACTTTCCAGCTGGCTTTCAAAAAATTATTTATAATTATTTTACTGAGGGCTTAACAGCACTTCATTGTTGCAATAACTCCAGGCAACCCCAGCTTGCCTGTTTCTACAAGCTTTATTGATTTCTAACCGGGGCTTCTGTTCTAGACATTCATTCAGAGGTGAGAACGTTCATTCAGTTGCCAAGACTATGGATACGTCTTTGACCTTGTTCTACCGGAGCCGCCGAATGGCTTTGCAAAACTGATGTAAATGATCTCTTCAAGCCGCACATTTTAAAGTACAGTCGTGCCCCGCTTAACGATTGCCTCGCATTACAATGAATCTGCTTCATGACGATGTTTTTGTGATCGCAATTGTGATCGCAAAATGATATTATAAAGGGGTTTTTTCGCTTTTAAATAAATAAATAAATAAATAAACAAACAAACAACAAAACAAACAAACAAACAAACAAATAAATAAATAAAAGTGGCAAGAAGGTTCATTCAGTGGCCAAGACTACGGATACGTCTTTGACCTTGCTCTGCCGGAGCCGCCGAATGGCAAAACTGATCTACGGATACGTCTTTGACCTTGCTCTGCCGGAGCCGCCGAATGGCTTTGCAAAACTGATGTAAACGATCTCTTCAACCCGCACATTTTAAAACACTTCCATCTTGGACACCCACCCAAAGACCCACACCCGCTGCCCTTGAGACAACCTGAGAGATGGTTTAGACTCACCGTCTGAGGGGAGAGTTCGGCTTTGGGCTTCAGGAGGAAGACGCTCTTGTCGACAGCATGGATGGCACAGAGGGAGCCCTTCGCGGCCGCCAGGTGGAGGTGGGTGTCACTGGCGGGCAGGCCTGTGGGTTCGGTGAACTCCAGTCTCACCTGTACAGATACAGAAGAGAGAAAAAGGGCTTGGAAAACTCCACCGGGAGGCCCAACAGGATCAGACCGCCTTGGCACCCGTTTTCTCAGCTTGGCTTCTCCTGTGGGGGCTACCAAAGAACAAGGGCTGCGCTGGTCCAGCTGGTCAGGGCGAGCATTGTAGATGACAGCGCCAACGACGCCACCTCCTCCTCCCAGCGTCAGTAGCTTTGACGGCTGTTGCCTTTGTCTGTTTCTACCCTGCTTTTCTCCTTTTAAAAAAAGGGGGACCTAAAGTGGCTTACAGCATTAAAAGAAAGTATGTAAAGCGAACAACAGTAAGTACACAATACTGCCTCTACCGCACAGAAGTACAGTAAACATAAGCAACACCAAAACACATTCAAATCAGTAAAGCACAACCATCCATAGCCTAGATGGGCGGGGTACAAATCTAATAAATAAATAAAAATAAAAACACCCCACTTGGGCAGCCTGTCCCTATGGGAAAGCTTGCCCAAAAAGAAAGGTCCTGGCCAACAAAGATGGGGCCAGCCTGGCCTCCTGTGGCAGAGCCAGTTCAAGGCTCTGGGGGGTCCTGGTCACGCAACATGATCCGTGCAATATAATATGAATAAGACTGACTCATGAAGGCAATCTTGGTAGCTGTAAACAAGTAAACCATGTTTAGGTAAACAAACAAAAAATATGACAATGAAAAACTGTCGTTGGCACAGGTTTCCTTTTAAATTT